AGATTATTATTATGATGCAAAATCTTACCCAAATATGCCTTTCTAATTTTTTTTGGATTTTTTCGTATTAATCTATTGCCAACTTGCACCCTATTTTTGTACCTCCTTTCCACCATATACTCTTAGATGTTTACCTTTTAATGTTGGTCTTGATATGCAGGCACAAGAAGCGATGCTCTGGTAGCTATTATAGAGTTGGAAAATCACCACCAGGCTGTGTAGAACTAGGGGGTTCTATAGGTAGCTTTTGCCACAAGACCTAGTAGTTCATCTAGAAATGTCCGGACCACTTTTCATTTTGTTTCATTACTAGTATAAGTTGCATAGAGTAATAGTGTTACTTATTGTTTTTGACAGCTTCAGGTGAAGAAACACTTGATGAACGCAAGGCTGCCAGATCAGCCAGTGGAAGTTGGCATGCCAAACATACATCAAATAAGTCGGGGACAAGCAATAAACATGAGCTGGAAGATGCATCAGCTGAGTTCCTTCATCCTACTGATGACGCAATTAACAAATCAGGTCTGGGCTCCTCTTCGGGGGACAGGTGTATTAAGAAAATCAAATTATCCAAGGACGTTCGCTTTGGCAACCTGACAAGCAAAACTGTTCAGCAAGCACCAAAGCGACCAAGAACAGATACAGCAAAAAGGAACCAAGAGTGCAGCAGACAAAAGAAAAGGAAAACTAGCAAGTGGGATAGATCCTATTCGATAATAGTTGATCGGTTGAATTATTACTGTGTTGATGATTCGGATGAAGATGAGGTACCTTTGATCAATAAAAGAACCGAAATGAGAAAACGACAAAGGTTACTGAAAAATTCTCAGGCAACAGAATCAAACGATTGTAGAAAGGATGTGTGTTTTGGTTCTTGTTCTCAAGGCTCAGGGGACAAGAACATATCTGAAAGTGCGCCTGCTTTTCAAGTTGAAGAACAGTCGTTACCAGATCATCTCGTGCTGTAGCTGCTCCAGGTCAAATAGAACATGAAACTGTGGACTCCGCAATTGGTGAAATTGTGGACATTTCAGATGGGTGACGATCACAGTTTAATTAGCTCCTCTTATCAACCCAAGCTTTCCGTTGTGCGTCTTGCTACTGCTAGACATCTCGCTACACTGCAAAAGTGCAAAGGTTGTAAACTTGGAACCCGGTTTGGTTTGCGCATATCGCCGCTATGGCAAGGATGCTGCGTCGTCCTGTGAAATATGTGTCCTTGGCTGCTGTACATAGTCTTGTTTATTTCTGTTGCAGTTTACTTCATTTTTTTACTAGCATAGAGGGGGTTGCAATGTTAGGTCTGTATGCTGTAGCTCACTTTGGGCTACCGTATTTCACTTTTCTATTTCTGTACTGACGACAGCGGCAAGTCATCTAATTGTGGGCGTATGGTTTCCCCCTCTTTGTGTATTTTTACTGTAGATGTGAGAAAAGTTTTTTTTTTGGCGGGAGGCGTGAAACGTTTCCACACTTTGATGCAAGGCCACTTTGTAATTTGGTTCCGACTTTGACCACTGATTTGACCAACAAGAATGTTACATGTCACAAAAGGTATTATATCACATGATTTGTATGCGGAATAAGTTTCCAATGTTAGATTTGTTATGGCATGTAACATATACTTTGTTGGTCAAATCAGTTGTCAAAGTTACATCCAAATTAGGAAGTGACCTTGCATAAAGTTTGATCTATACATTTCGTGAATAGATTTATTATTGCCTAGAAAGTTGTTCTTTAATAGACTTTTGGTAATCTATACGTCACTCTGCTATTTTTTTATAAGCCTCACTGTGCTATATGCTTCTATTGCATTTGCTTGCATCTTTAGTTTCTTTTCCGTAGTATACTGATATTGAAACCACATCAAAGAATGTTAGATTATATTGAAATGTAGTTTCCCTAGATTATACTCCCTCCGTCCCATAATATAAGAGCGTTTTTACACTAGTATAGTGTCGAAAGCGCTCTTATATTATGGGACAGAGGGAGTACAATATATGTTTTGATAAAAACAAGTCTGTTGATATATCCTTGACAATGGAGTAGATAATGTGAGATTCAGGAGAACTCTGATGGGGGATTCTCTTGAATTATGGGACCAGATCAAAGAAGCTTGTGCCTCTCTTGTTCTGAATAACAGGAAAGACGAGGCTGTATGGACTCTGACAAAGAAGAGGTAAATACACCGCAAGTCATAGAACTTGCACGCGACGGTCAGTTTGATGCATAAACTTGTAAAATCCGTGTTTTTGGTCATCTAACTTGTCTTTCCGTTCATATATGGTGCTTTCTACCGTATCATGTGCACGCAAAAAAAAACATGGCAGGGGCCCACTATCAGGGGATGAGGCAGTGGGTAATCTGCGTGCACCGTTATTTTTCAAAAAGCACCCTTGCATTTTATTTATTTATGCACAAAATCCTCAAATAAAATGAAAAGTGCTAGAGCAGCAGCAGGATTCAAACACATGCCCCGCTAACTTAGATAGCCACTTGACCTCCTTACTATTGACGTTTATAGAGCACAATTAGCTTTATATAAGATAAACCATGCGAGTTAAAGTAGAAACCAAATGAGAAAAGGGGAAAACACCGGTTCTAACCTATGACCACATAAGCTCGCCACGTGTGCGAGCACCAACCATCTGGCCACATTGACATTTAAATAGATAAACACAATTTCTCTTATGTATTATTTCTTTCTATTTAAGAAAATTACTTATATTCTCGATAAACTTTTTGGACAAATCAACTAGATTTTCTTTGAATTCAAGTAATTTTAAATTTAAAAATCTAGATAGGAAATATAGTGCAGACTGAGTGTACATATTTTTTGGACAAACCAACAAACATTTTGTATGAATTCGAGTAATGTTAATTTAAAAGTGTAGATAAAACAAAGTATAGTGCAGAATGAGTGTACGTATTTTTTGCACAAACCAACAAACATTTTGTATGAATTCGAGTAATTTTAAATTAAAAATGTAGATAAAACAAAATATAGTGCAGAATGAGTGTACGTATTTTTTGCACAAACCAACAAACATTTTGTATGAATTCAAGTAATTTTAAATTAAAAATGCAGATAAAACAAAATATAGTGCAAAATGAATGTAATTTTTTAATTCAAATAATTTTAAATTTCAAAATCTATATTAAAGAAATCATAGGTGAAAATGAATGTATGTAAATTTTCGGACAAAACAACTAATTTTTTGATTGAATTTGAATAATCTAGATAAAATAAAATAAAGTTCATAATGAATATACGTAAATTTCTTTCAGACAAATAAACGTAATTTATTATGAATTCAAAAATCTAGCTGAAAGAAATTATATGTGAAGAAGAATGTACATCTTTTTTTGGACAAATCATCTAATTTTTTGTTTGAATTCAAATAATTTAAAATTTGAAAATAAGATAAAAGTAAATCTAGTGCCCAATGAATGTACATATTTTTTGGGGCAAACCAGCAAAATTTTGTTTGAATTCAAATAATTTTAAATTTGAAAATCTAGATAAAAGAAAATATGGGTCAGAATGAATGTACATATTTTTTGGGGGACAAATCAACTAATTTTTATTTCAAAGAAATCAACGAAAAGAAATATAGCTAGACAAAAGAATATATAGTGCAGAATGAATGTACCTAATTATTTTTCAAACAAATTATCAGAAAATTTGTTTCAAATCCGAATAATTTTAAATTTGAAAATCTAGAGAAATGAAAATATATTCAGAATGTGCACCTTTTATTTTAGAGGTGATATACCTTAGTAGTCCAAATGAAATACCAAGTACGATCAATTGCGGTGGATAGGTCGCTAGCTCCATTCCAATTGGTCCTTGGTTAGAACTCGCTTGTCCCATTTTTTCCAGCCCAATATATTTACAACTTACACTGACCGTAGGACCCAGGCACCCAGCGGACAATTATTGTTGGAGTGCTTTTGCAAAAAGTAAAAAAGAACGAGTGTGTTTCCGGAAAAATCATCACGTCCACTAGCCACTGACAATGGGCCCAATATATTTACAACGTACACTGACGGTTGGACCCAGCGGGCAACTATTGTTGGATTGCTTTTATAAAAAGTAAAAAGAATGAGGGTGTTTATGAAAAAAACGCCGGCCATTGGTGTGCCATGTAGGCAGCGAATACACCTGCGTACGGAAAATGTGACCGTATTTACACGCCCGCACAAGTTAGATGACCAGAAACATGTATTTTACAAGTTTATGCACCAAACTGACCGTCGCACGCAAGTTCTAAGACTTCTAGTGTATTTACCTCGACAAAGAATGTCATTTATTCTGTTAAGTCTTTCTATAGACATTTGATTGAAAATGGGGTTAAATATCCACATTTATTTATGTGGAAAGTTAAATTGCCACCTAGGGTGAAAGTTTTCATGTGGTTGGAGAGGTGATAATAAGTGCCCCTTTTGTGGAAGGGACGAAACTATTAATCATCTTTTCTTTACCTGCTCGGTTGCGCGTTTACTCTGAAATGTACTAAAATGTGCTATCAACCTCACTGGTGTGCCTGATAACATAGACTCTCTGGTTGGGGATTGGGTGAGAAAATTAATGAAGTAGAGAGAAATTTGATGATGGTAGGGATCTCTGCAATTTGCTGGACCCTATGAAAATTAGGTAATGGTGTTATTTTCTGGTACTCCCTTCGTTTCAATTTAATCATCGCAGAAATGGATGTATCTAGAACTAAAATACATCTAGATACATGCATTTCTACGACGAGTAATTTAGAACAGAGAGAGTAATAGAAATCGAAGAGTAAGCTCTCTTTTATCAAAAATAAATAAATAAATACTGATATTGACGATGAACCCCTTCCAAAATATTTAAATAAGAAAAAGCGACTAAAACACACGGAACTGCCATATCCCCCGTCTTATCTCACTCCCAAACCCCCACTCATCTACACTTCTATCCACACCGTCGAGCTGCGCACGCGCGCGCCCTCCGCTCCACCGCCATGGCGTCCATCACCCTCCTCTCCCTCGCTCCAGCCGCGACCTTCCTCCACCTCCCGGCCTCCACCGCCTCCTCCTCCCCCCACTTCGCCGCCATTCCCCGCTCCCTCGCCGGCCGCCGGGCCCTCCTCCTCCGCGCGCGCGCGCCCCGCCGCGTCACCGTCGTCTGCAGCGCCGCGGCGGCGGCCGAGGCCTCGGAGGCGGAGCCCGTGGAGAAGTTCCGGCTCGACAACCTGAGCCCGCAGAAGGGGGCGCGGCGGAAGCCGAAGCGGAAGGGGCGCGGTATCTCCGCGGGGCAGGGCGCCAGCTGCGGGTTCGGTATGCGCGGGCAGAAGTCGCGCTCCGGGCCCGGCGTCCGCCGAGGGTTCGAGGGCGGGCAAATGCCGCTCTACCGCCGTCTTCCCAAGCTCCGCGGAATCGCCGGCGGTGGGTCACCTCGCCTCTACACTCTACATTGTTCATATATAGCCATAATGTGCCCAATTGGCTTGCAAAACGCACAAGTGACCGTGCTTGGGGAACGGGCGTGATTGCGCAGTAACCTGAGCTACTTCTGCCCTGCCTTTTTCAGGAATGCATATCGGGTTGCCAAAGTACGTGCCGTTCAATTTGAGGGACATAGTGCAGGGTGGGTTCAAGGATGGCGATGAGATTTCCTTGGAGTCCTTGAAATCGAGGGGCTTGATCAATCCATCCGGCAGGGAAAGAAAGCTTCCACTCAAGGTACAACCTATCATGATTTACATGGTTATCTCTACTGAAACCTAAGTGTCCTCTCATTTGAATGTTTAGTTTAGCTCAACTTCTCGCCCTGTGTAACTTGATTGATCTTTCTGTATCTTAGCTGTTGTTCCACAGCTAAGATAAGGTTTTGCGCACGAGGCTAAGGGGCATAACTTGGAGTTGTGGTTGCTCTAAGCAATATTTATTCCTATCTAGGTTGTAACAGTTAGTTGACATCATCTTTTCTTAAGATGTAATAAGAAATTCTTACTGGAATTAGTAGATATTCCCCTAACTAAGTAGGTTCCGTAACACAGCACAGCAATTGCAAACTGAACCTAGAACAGTTGTCAATACTAATTTTGTAATGTGGAGTGCTATTGGTTTTGTCCTTAGTTCCTTATGACATATCATGTCCTGCTGGAGTGCTGGTAACAGTTGATGTTACTTCTTAACTTTGGTAGGGTTATGTTGCATTCAAGAGCTTTATTAGTATATCCTTGTTAGGGAAAAGAGAGATTGGTTAATCAATGACCAAATTTGTACAGTTATGCACACAAAACGAAGAGATACAAGCAGGAACTTGATTATCCCAAACACCACACCCCGCTTGTCGCAAGTTGCGTGAGCTCATGAGCGACCTTATTAGCATCTCTCGTAACCTTTGCACCTGGTTCCCAGGTAGAAGTTGCGTCATATTAGCATCGACGACAATGATCAGCATACTCCAACAGTCCAACTTGCCTTATCTGTAGTCCAGCTGATGTGGGTGTTAACTACCAACATAGAATCAGATTTGAGAATCCGGGTTTTGATTATCCAGAGAAAATCCTTCCATATATTTTACAATAAATTACGCTTACCAGCAGCCAAATGGCCACTCCCATCTTTCTTAGTTTCAGCAGATAGCGGTGAGCCAACTTATAAGCACTTGTGACTGGAAAAACACCCATTTTAATCGTAGAGCCAGGTAATTGAGTATTGTTTGAATATTTATCATTTACTGGTATCTGGATCTTTAAAATTTCCTGGGCATCATGAGGATAAAAGGTTTGTTGTCTCAGTTCAACATCCCAATAGCATGCTTGCAGAAAACAGTACTCCCTCCATCCCATAATGTAAGACATTTTTTTGACACTACACTAGTGTTAAAAAACGTCCTATATTACGGGACGGAGGGAGTAATTTTGAATAACAGCTTCATGTGAGCCTATTTATCTTTGTGTCAGGGCTCTCCTTACATTTGTCCTATAGACAAAACAGTTTCAGGAATAACTATACATTTGTGTCTCTGCACCAAAAAAATGGATTTCATCTGCTACTTGTGAGTGCCATTTTGTATGGTTTGTATATGACTGTATGTTGATGTCCTGTTCGCCCAATATGTAGATTTTGGGAGATGGTGATCTATCAGTCAAGTTGAACATCAAGGCTGGGGCATTCTCCTCCGCGGCCAAGGAGAAACTTGAGGCAGCTGGCTGTACTTTAACAGTGTTGCCCAAGCGGAAGAAATGGCTACCAGCAGCTTATGTGAAGAACCAAGCTCGTGCTGAAGAGTACTTTAGCAAGAAAAAAGGCGGCGCTGTTGAATCTGATGAAGCCACCACATAGAGTTCATACACACTGTACTTCTCTACCCTTCTCTTTAGCATATGTTCATTGCACCCATCTCATTTCAGAATTACCATGTAAGATGGATTTTGTCTTTATGTGATAAGCAAGTATATTGTGCCCTTTTTTTTTAGTAAAATGTTACCATGCCACTTTTATGTGGTGTTTCTTAAAACAAATAGCAGCTTTCACAATTCACCACGTAAACGGGCATCGTAAAACAAAGCCTTATGTTTTAGAATTTTGGCTCTTAACACAAAGCTCAGTAGTCACACACTGCACCAGGTTTTAGGAATCATTGGTTAATGTTACAAAAAGAAAAGATCATGTGCCACTTGCATCAGATATTATAACTTCTGAAATATATATCCATGTACCAGCACTTGGCTCAATGAGATACAGATTTTTTTTTGAACCGGGCATAACCCCTTTCCATTACTCGCATAACGGAAATACAATAGTCTGACCAATGAGATACAGATCTGACGATGATTTATATGTCAGTTATTATCTTGCCAACTTCCTTTTTACACTTGAGGCTAAAACCTGATGTGGCAAGATCATGCAAGGAGAAACACTGTGAATAATGTAGGGTGTCTATGTTCATGTTCATCTATGGGGTAATTTGGGTTATCTTTGAAATCGCCATCTCAGCGTCTTCATTAATGACCTAATGTGTACCTGTGGGCTTCTTAATTGTGCGTGCACTCCCTTTCATTATTCCTGACCAGTGGAGGGCGTGCACATATGGTGCACTGTTCTCCAATGACAGGAATCTGCAATTATTATTATACAAAGGTGCAACTCATCCTATACACGCATAACAACTGTCCTGTGAACAGAGCATTTCAACAGAGCTCATCCTAAGGTTGCGTGTTTGAAGGAGTTTGATTAGACAGCTCAAGGTATATGCTCAATGTCTTATATTTCTTTACAGAGGGAGTACGTTGCTAAGTACAAACACTTTTACATGATAATTCTTCGTACCACCTTAGGGGCTCTGGAGTTAACGCCGACTCTGCAAAATATGAGGAATTTCTCTTTTGACTTGATCTGGTAGTATGGACAGTACATTTCCCCTAGAAACTGTAGGCTGAACTTTAATGTTCCCTCGGTGTTCATCAGTGGGTGATCCATCCATTCCAGTTGGTGTTCCTATACAAACACTACTGTTTTTCTATGATTGCTCAAACATAAATGCCCGCCAAGGAGTGCTTCCCCGTCCTGTAACTTGTCCTATTAGGACATTACATTATGTGCATGCCCATGATTATAGTGCTCATGATCTGTAATCTATAAGATGTTCTGGGTATCTCGCATACAGACTGAAATGAGTGAACAAACCCACTAACGTGTCTATATACATCTGATTCAGAAAAAGTTAGAACAATTTGTGAACCAAGGGAGTATCATTTATTTATTTTTGCATTGGTGAGAACTATCCTGTTCTCTTGATCCCTCCTGACATTGTCACTTCTCTTTTGAACTGGCTTATTGTATATCATTTCAATTGTTTATATGCTCACTGAATTTCCTGGTAAACATTTCTCTTACAATTCCATTCCACCCCAGCATTAACAGTCTATGGATGTATTAATTTAAAAAGCAAAGCTGATAGAAGCACTTCCTATTTTAGATGGACATATAACTAGCTCATTTAAATCCAAATCATATAACTAGCTCTCTATCATGTTGGTTTCGTATGAACGTTGTGTGGCAACATTTTGGAATGGTCATATGTAGATGGTCAATCTTGAGTTGTTTAATGCCACATTGACAAACTAGTTAAGCAACGCGCTAACACATTCACTAAGTATCTGAGGTCTAATATCACTGCCAAGTATTTTTTGAACAATAATACACAGGTCTAGATGCCTCGTCATCGACATTTTAAATTTTTTCCTAGAAATACCCTCGAAACGTCTGGATTGACCCGTGGACGGAAACGTGATGGAACAACAATCTCTTACTCTCCAAGCAAAGTTGCCAAATCAAAATTTAGAGACACAGATGGTGTTGCAAAGTTAACTCATGGATAGTGAGATCACAGTGTTGTTACACTTGTGCGCATTTATGCTCATATAGCAAGGTTTCTTCTGAGCGCATGCAGCAAGCTGTTCCTCCCCTTGTGAGCGCTTTCAGAGAGAGAGAAAAAAGGAGGATGTTTCATGCTAAGTACCAGCGAGAAAATTCCCCAGCTAAAGAGAGATGGATCGGGTATCCTGCTCATGTATTTTCCATGTGAGAAGACTGAGCAGAACATTCTCTGCTCCGCCGAGCAAAATTCGTGGCGAAAAGTTAGCTGCTCAAGTCAGAACACACTCCAGAACTCCACTTCTTGCGTATGTTCAGAGATTACAGGTTGCTAAACGACATATAATACCTTTTTTTCAGCCGCAGAAGTAGAAATGGGCTTCACGGTTGGTCAGGCAGTCGGGGGTGGCCAGGATGGTCCATGGACCACCCTAGAATTTCCCAATAGCTTGTACTCCCTCCGGTCCTTTTTACTCTGCACATTGAATTTGCCGAAAGTCAAACTTTGCTAAATTTGATCAAATTTATATTAGAAATTATTAGCATCTATAATATCTAATAAATATGCTCTTGCACAAAATCACTTTCATGTTTTCTTTTGCATAAATGCGGCACGAAACGAACTGACTGCTAGTTCAGTGTTGATAAGACAAGCATAGGGTGTTGAGAGTTGAGACACAGACACGGTACTTCGACTGCTGAGGAAATTGCCTGATTTTTTTTTAAAAAAATTGCATAGGCAGGCAATTCTGTCGATCTCGCCAAGTATTATTGCATGAAAATGCACGCAAGTATTATCTTGCCCAGCGTCCACCTCATCGACACTGGAATCTCAAGCCCTGAAGACAAAAGATGGCAACGAAAGCAGAGACCTTTTGGTAAGAGCAAGGACCAAAGTCACCAAACAAACAAAGGGGCGAGCAGTCGTACTCACTCGTACGTGCCCCAAGTCTGAACCGATAACGGATGGAGCAATAAATTCCATCCGCGCTGGGGGCCCTTGATCAGCCCTGTTCCCACTTCCACGGCGGCCTCCCCCACAGCAAAGCAGCAAAAGCGTCCCAGCTCAAAAAAAAAAAGCAGCAAAAGCGACGCCAACGACGACGATCGCCATTTAACTCGGCGGCCCCTTCCGCGGCAG